TCCTGCTGAGATAGGCACAGATGGTAAACCAAAAGTTTTGAGTCAGGCAGAAGAAGTTCTCAATTGGCAAACAGAAAATGCTCAAGCTCAGAATTCTTTACTAAAGAGAATTGATGACAAGATGACAAAAATGTCAAGCAGTATGCAAAAATCAGAAGATAAGTTGGATTATCTCTCGACAAAAATGAAAGCATACTATCAAAAGTTAACTGCTGACATTACTAGGCTGGAGAAGGAGATAAAGAATATTCCATTTGGAATAACTTTACAAGAAAAGGATCGAGAAATCAGAAGTTTAAAAGCTCAACTCTTCCAATTAGAAGAACAAATAGAGCAAAAGAAAAAGATGTTACAGCCCCCGCCAATGGCTGCAGATCCTTATGCATTCCTACATCCTCCTATGCCCGATAGGTTTCTCATACTTGGATGGTAGAATCTCAATTTCTACATTAGGATGTGAAGCAACAGCAGTTGTCATAATGTCATGTTGATCGACAGCAAAGATTGATATAGAATCTCCCTCTTTGCTATAGTCATTGTTGTTATTTTTCATGGATTTATGAAAATAAATATTGTTCTATGGCCATAGACGATAAAGTTTGAATTATTTATAGCTGGAGGGTTGACCTTGGGGATTTAAATGAGTAACCATTCATGGTAAAATATTCTGTTGATATTGGATTGACATTAAAATAATGCTCATTTATCCTGACTAGTCACTATTAAAATGATTCAAATTTTATTATTTAATTTTTATGTTACTATATATAATTTTGTTCTTTATTTAATTAATTATATTTATTTAACAAGTGTTCTCACTCCTTATTTCTTGTTGTGAAAAATTTAATATATCATAAAATAGATGGATCTACCGGCTATCCCAGTCCCTTCACCGTAGTGATCACTGCAGTCTTTCCCGGGGGTAATTGGGGAATAAACACTATTTCCAACTCTGTCACGTTCCAAGGCATCGCACTATCGTCGTTCTTTTTCTTACCCGACCAAGAAAATCCTACCATCATAGATGGACCTATTATAGTGACTTTCTTTTTACCACCGGCAAATCATATAAATCCTATTGTGAACTTGTTTCCACCACCAATGTAAATACTATCGTAATAGCCGTGTAAAATAACAAGATATATATATAGAATAGGTAATGCGTGTAGAATAATATGTGTGTAAATGTTAAAAATAATAATGTAAGATATATGAGTAGTTTAAAATGATGTACATATTTTGGTAAATATTTTAAGATCCTTATAAGTTATTTATGTGTATTTGCTCTTATTACTCATTTGTGTTCTCAATTTAAATATATATATATATATATATATATATATATAACTATCTATAAACGTATAAAATTAGGATTCATATGTATATTTTAGACGTTACATTTTAGTGGTATCAGAGCAACGTTCTATGTGTAACTTGGGGAAATGTGCTAACCATGTTTCTAGTATAATAAACTAATATATATAAAATTTCAGATGGCAGGAAGAAGAAATACCGAACTGACAGAAGTTGTACAAGCTATTAAGGATATGGCCGCAGCCTTATTAAGAAATCAACGCCCGGAAGGAATGGGAGAGTCACAAGGACTGGTAGAATTTAGAAGCAATAAACCTTCCCAATTTGATGGAGGATATAATCCTGAAAAGGTTGAATTGAAACCCGAAGAAAAAGAAAGAGGGGAGAGAAGGAGGTCGGGGGGACCTCTGCCCCTCAAGATGCTGAAGAGGTGACTTTGAAGGCTGTTCATGCCGACGTAGTCGACCTAACTGGAAGTCCTCCTCCTGAGGGATCATCCCGAGCTACTGTGGAGGAGGTCGCTCGTGAGGCGCAGGTTTGTATTTTTTCTTCTTATGGTTTTTCTTCCACATTGTGTGATTTTCTTGTTTAATAACTTGGAGAATTTTCGTGCTTTTTGTAGGCAAGGCCTGTGGTGTATGAAGCGACCACGGTATAGGGGTCAAGCCGAGCTATACTGATTACAAGCGACCAATTTGAATAAAGTGCGATGTGTTGAAAATGTTGTTGTTAGCGGATGATATTGTGTATCATTGTTGTAGATGTTGTGTTGCTTTAAGTTGTAAGTTGAAAGTATAATTTTATTGCTGTTTATTATATGTTGATGCAATTTTTTTATGTTTATTTTTGTGAGCTTACCCTAGCGTGTTTTCCCTATGTGGTTGGGACTGTGATGACCATACCTTGGTATGCGAGCAGATCAGGAGTAGGTGCTCTGCTGGACTAAGTGAGCTTCTTTTTGGTTAGGACTCAGGAGGAGGGCTGACGTTGTATTTAGTTGATTGGTAACTTTTGACTACCTAGTTGTTGTATAGGATATTATTTCCCTACTTTCAGTTATATATATTACGAAATTTTTTAGTTGATTGGTAACTTTTGACTACCTAGTTGTTGTATAGGATATTATTTCCCTACTTTCAGTTATATATGGTTGGTGTTGGAAATTTTGAAGGAAAAATAGTTGTATGCGAAGTTGTCAAAATGTGAATTCTAATTGGAAGAGGTGAAGTTCTTGGGTCATGTTATTTCAGCAGAAGGAATTACAATTGATCTGGCTAAGATAGAGTCGGTGTTACAGTGGGAATGCCCAAGAACTGTCACGGATATTCGAAGCTTTATGAGTTTAGCGGGTTACTATAGGAAGTTCATTGAGGCATTCTCCAAGATAGTAATGCCTCTAACCTAGTTGACTAGGAAGGATCAGTCTTTCATATGGATAGAGTCATGTGAGCAGAGTTTCGAGGAGTTGAAAAAGAGGTTGACTACTTCTCCTGTGTTGGTGTTGCCCGATTCCAGTGAGCCTTTTGAGTTGTATTGTAATGCTTTTCACCAGGGATTGGGGTGTGTGTTGATGCAAAACAGGAGAGTAGTGGCATATGCTTTAAAGCATTTGAAAAAAAATCATCATGAGAGGAATTACCCCACTCATGACTTGGAGTTAATAGCTATTGTTTTTGCCTTGAAGGTATGAGGACATTATTTATATGGTGTTAGGTTCAGCGTCTTCAATGATCACAAGAGTTTGAAGTACTCTTTTGATCAGAAGGGGCTGAACATGAGATAGAGTTGATGGATGGAATTTTTAAGTATTTTGATTTTTAATTGATGTAACACTCGGGGAAGGCCAATGTTGTGGCGGACGCCTTGAGTAGGAAATCCATCCATATCTCTATGTTGATGGTGAAGGAGTTGGAGCTAGTGGATAAATTCAGAGATTTGAATCTCTATGTAGAGTTGGCTCAAGACCACAATAGATGCGGAATGACTACCATTGCTAGTGAGTTCTTGTAGCAAGTTGGTATGAAGTAGTTGTAGCGTTCGAAAGTTGTGAAGGTTCTTAATTTGTGGGATACAGAGAAAGCAGTTGGCTTTGAGATGGGTGAAAATGGGATTTGAGGTTTAAGGGCAGAATTTGCCTACCTCAAGATTCTAAGTGAAGAGAGACATTGTTGAATATATAGAGGCCTGTCTGACCTGTCAGAAGGCTAAGGTTGGACACCAGAAGTCTAGTGGTTTAATTGTAAATGATGGAGATCCTATAGTGAAAGTTGGATAGTATCACTATGGATTTCATTGATGGGTTGCCTAAGTCAACTAAGAATAGTGATGCTATTTGAGTTGTGGTTGACAGATTGACCAAGTGTGCACATTTCTTGCCTGTCAATATCAAGTGATCATTGGAGAAGTTGGCACAGTTGTAGGTGAAGGAAATAGTGCGATTGCACGGGGTGCCCTCCAGTATTATTCCAGATAGGGATCCGAGGTTCACTTCTAGATTTTTGGCAGAGTCTACACCAAGTCTTAGGCACGAGATTGAGATTGAGTTCTTCTTATCATCCACAGACAGATGGTCAGTCATAGATGACAATTCAGTCCTTGGAGGATTTGTTGAGGGCTTGTGTGCTAGACTACTTGGGGAGTTGGGAGGAAGCCTTACTACTGGTAGAGTTTATGTATAACAATAGCTTTCATGCTAGTATTGAGATTGAAGCATTGCATGGTAGGAAATGTGGGACTCCTTTGTGTTGGTATCAAAGATGGTGAGTTGGTAGTTGCGGAGCTAGAGTTAATTTTACAAACCATTGAGGAGGTGAAGTTGATTCAAGAAAGGATGAGGTTTGTCTATAGTAGGTAGAAATCGTAAGTTGATAGAAGGCAAAGAAGCCTTTGGGATTTTTTGAGATGGAACACGTGTTTCATGTTTCAAAGTTAAGGAAGTACATTAGAGACCCAAGTCACGTGGTGGAGATGGATGAGGTGCAAGTTAGAGAGAACTTGACCTATGAGAAGAGACCGGTAGCTGTGGTTGGGCACAAGTTAAAGGAGCTTCGTGGCAAGTTCATCAGCTTGGTGAAGATTTTTTGGGATGCAGCTACTGGTGAGGTGACCTGGGAGGTGGAGAGTCAATTCAAGGAACGGTATCCATTCCTCTTTCTAGGTAAGCCTATTTTCGGGGACGAAAATTCCTATTTTTTTGGAGGTATTGTAATGTAGTTAGTAGCCTAGAATGGGCCGTTCCAAAATTGGAACGGCCACTAAATTGGCTTAAAAACACTAGTTGAGAACGAGATGTTCCAAATTGGTTGTTATGGGTAAAAATGCAACCCCAAAACGGGCCGTTCTAGTTTGAGAACGGGTCGTTCTGGACGTAAATTTTACACATGAAGTTTGAGTTCAGAGCGGGCCATTCTGGATTTGAAACGGGCCGTTCTGGCCACTCCTGAATTTCTATAAATAGGACCTATGTGCAGTTGAGGAGGCGAGGTTTTAGAGAGAGGTTCTAGAGAGAAGGACTCTGGGTCTGTGAGCTCGTTTCTCTCTCAACTTTCTCTGTATAATTCTTCTTCTCCTCTAGGTCACTAATTCTTCTGTCTTCCTTGAATTTCAGACTAGAAAGCTTACTTTTGGGAGGATTGATGTTCAAGAGTCGAGCTCAGATATTTCTTCTTCTTCTTCCTCTCAGATTCTTGGCTTTTAGAGCCAATCTTCAGGTTAGGGAAGCTTCATGTATTATTTTCCTTGAAAATGGTTAAGTTGTTGAGTGCAGATTGAGTTAAAAAGTTTGGTTTTGTTGTTTGAAAGAAAAGAGATAATTTATTTAAATTAATGGTTGATTTTTAATTTGTGTCAAATATGTTGTATATTGTTGAAGTTATTTATAAGGTTGTAAAGTTGCTAAGTTGCCTGATGAAAATGAGTTGAGTAGTTGTTGGCTTAAGTTTTTCATATGTTGTGTGTTGATAATATGTGATATATTGTGAAAGTTGTTATACATTATGTATTTGGTGAAACTAAGTTATTTTTATGTTGTTTATTGTTGAATTATTAATAAGTTGAGATGTATAAGTGAAGTAGTTATTGTTGTAAAAGTTGTTTAAAGTCGTATAAGTTGCCTATTGCTGTAAAGTTGTATAAGTTGCCTATTGTTATATTGCTGTAAGTTGCCTATTGTTATAAGATGTCTATTGTTGTATTGCTGTAAGTTGCCTATTGTTGTAAGATGCCTATTGTCACATTATTTTAAAGTTGAAAAGTTGGGGACATATGCTGAAGATATATGTCCTATGTTGAGATACATAGTACTAAGGTGATAAGTTGAAAGTTGTTTTAAAGTTGAATCCCTTAGTACTGTGTGGGTGACATGGAAGTACTCGATGCATGTCATGGTTGAATGACTAATTTGAGTAAGGTATCTAGTTAGAGATGTAGTCTTTAACTAGGTCCTGGAGGGTGCATGG